ACAGCTTTGGCTGTTTCCCTGAAGCTCGAGCCATTTTCATATTCTGGAAGGGTTTTATTCTGGTATCCCACAAATAGCACTTCGCCCCCCCCAAGTTTCTCTTCCTACTCTTTCCTAGTGGATTTCTCACTGACAGAAAGATCATCTACTTTACCTCCCCCATCCTTCCTTCCCTCAAAAAATCATTCACTACTACTTTCAGAGGAATTTGCAAGTTGGAATACATCTGCATGGTCAGAAGATCACCCTTTTTCATAGCCGTGATGTTTACGGACAACTGTTTTTTAAACCACAGGCACAAGCAGTCCTCCCCATCAAACCCTTCTGTGCTTGAAGGCAGAGTCACTTGTCCAAGTCTGTCGTGACCAGATCACACTATTACTTTACTTGATCTATACTCATCATTTGTAAGTTTGTCAGTATCTTACAACAGCTAAACTCCAGCAAGTAGTATGGCAAGACAAGATGCCAACTAGTAGTGTCTTTGCACCCTAAATAATTCTTATACTACGCCTGACCCTCAAGATATAAGGAACCTTTAAAAAGATCCCGTCTTACTTTGAAATATCCCCATTAGATCATAAAACCCCCATTAGATTATAAAACTCCAACTTGAAACCCTGCTGAGAATTTTTAAAGTCTTCCCCACTCTATTCTAAGAGCATATAAGCAAAAAACCCAACATCTAATGAAGTGTAAAACTAATTATTATGAAATAAAACTAGCTGTTCACAAAGTGGAAAAACATCACATTTTCATGTCCTGTTTTCCTTTAAAATGTATTCCCTTCCCATCATCTAGCATACTTTGCAAATGTAAAAATAAATATTCTTCACAGCGGAGTGCTGGCTTGAAGGCTACGAGTGCAACAATAAAAAGCTTCACAATTTAATGGCCCTTAAATGCTCAACATCTTTTCACTTAATGTAAAATCCATCTGATCTAATAGCTGTGACTGAATTACATGTATGTTTTTTCTATTAAAAGTTAATTTTCTGAGTTGGCAGAGCAATACAAGCATTAGATTAAAAAAAGCAGCAATCTCTATAAACTTTCCAGGATTCAGAGATATTTTCAAGTCAGCTATTCAAAACAAAAAAAGAAGTCACATATTCACTTTAAAAAGTGCTATTACATAATAGGAACATTGTGCCAACAATCAATAAGCTGCATTACCTTATTAATGTTGCTTTACTGTTTCATGGAACAGATCACAAAATACCTCTTGTGAAGCACCCCTCAAACCTCTTAGATGCATCTCATTTACATTTGACATTTTTGTGCCCTCCCATTTCTTCCTTTCATTTATCAGTGATGTTTGTCCATGAATGCATAAATATTGAAAGCTTCCTTCCCTAGGCAGGTCATACCTCACGGTTGATTTTACCGAACACACGGATTATGACTGCCATGGGAACTTCACTCATACGTGGACACAGCCCAGATTTCACCTTCGTGAGTCAATTCAGCCAAAAAAAGCCCAAACTTATATACAGCATTGCCAAGGGACTTGTTCATTCAGTTTGAGCCGTCCCCATTTGTACAGTATTTAAACAATCCACACCTATTAAAACTCAAAACATTAAGCTTACTTTCTTGCACGCTATGATTTTATAGTATCACCAATACCAAGGTAACAAAAGAGTCTGAGCTACCATGTATCACATGAAATACTGAATTACAGTATTCCCAAGGAAATTCAGATTTAGCTTCTCATTTCTATGGCATTCTTTATCTTGCATTTATTTCTAAAGTAGGACTTTCTTCCCAGGTAAGTACTCGAAAGTCCAGATAGGACTTTCTTTCCAAGTACAATCCTGCTGTTAAAAACAGTGTTACGCAAAAGGCAAAATAACCACAACTAAAACTCCACAACCACCAAGCTGGCAAAAGGTCGGTGGCACTGCTCCTCCAAAAGGAAGACACTTTCTGATGTGCAACTGAAGTGTTACTACAGAAGATGCGCAGTTGGGCTCGGTGGGTTTCCCTCCGCCCCCCCCAACAACTAGCAACTTCTCAACTTAATCTCCTTTTTAGAACCATATTAACAGGAAATACAGAGGAGTATTAAGGAAACATTTTAAAAAAGGAAAAAAAAACGCAACATCAAAACACCCACACAACTTCCCAACCCCAGCTACCAATTCACATTTCATAGAAAAATGGTAACTTTAATTATTCCTTTTAAAAAATATATGTACTGCAATGGATGAAGCCAGTAATCGTATTCATGCTTCAAGTAACATGACATTGGGTTGAAGTTGCAAAAGTGATCTTGAAGTCATTTAACATAATGAGAAACCTCAGATCTATGCCACTTTAATTCAGCTGCTGGAACAGCAGTTTCAACAATCAAGTCTCAACACAATAAGAAACTTAGTGTACAACCTCAGCATTTCCAGGTAGCTGTTGTGGTATGGGTCAAGGATTAGAATAACAATGCATATTTTCAACTAGCAGCTTGCTTTTGAAGATGTTTCAAGCTGATGTTTAAGTGGCATGTTACTCTCCCCGCCGCCCCTTAAAACAAAGATGGCAAAAGTAAATTCTCTAGCAGAAATAAACTACTTTGTCTACTAAAAAAATAAGAGGATGTAAATATAATTGAAAAACCTTTTAAATAATTGGCCTCACTCTGCAGAAAAAACATGGTTGGAGATCAAAATACCCATATAATACACCTGAGAATAGATTAAGCTATCAGAAAATTATCAGTGAAAAGCACTTCATGATACCCTGTAGATTAGCTGACTCAGTAAAGTTGACAGAACATATTTACTGGCAAAGGGAAGGTTTAGACATATCAAATCTTGAAACAGTTCTACCTGAATGCAAGTTCCTCTTCAGAAAAAACTCAAATGCATATATACTCATATACTTTTTTCCTCCCAAGGTCAAATTAGAGATTTACAAGAACCCTAAAGAGAGCTTCTGCTTACTAACTCAGAATGCAAGCAACTCCTTCAAAGATCCAAGGAAGAAACCATTGTTCCAGTCATTGTTTAAATACAGTAAAGTTTCACTTATACTGCTCATACCCTAATAACCTTACTCATTTTCATGTCCCACGGGCTGGATGAGATAATCCAAACCACCAAAAATTATGTTAAGCTAATGGTGAAATTAGAGAGTCCTTCACTTTGAAGTTACATCAAATGAATGGATTTTGGCAGTGCCAAGAAATTATTCTGCAAAGATTGCTTAGCATGAAATCAAGTAGCAGTGTAAGGTATGAAGTGAACATGCTTTCATTAAAGGCAGCAGTAAAACTTCACTGGCTCACCCCCAATCCTATTGACTGACATAAAAGACAGGTTGTCCTGTTTGGTGTAGAAGCGGCCAGAGTCAATTTACTCTGAAGAACTAACTGGCAGAAGCTTTGAGTCTCGATCAATGTCACCGAAATTTTACCAACCATAAACTCTGGAAGTAGACAGAAAACCCCAATAATCCCAACAGACACCTAAAAAGCAAATGCGTTACCTGGTATTCGAGAGCATTCAAGTGAGTTCAATATCCTTCACTACCCAGGCTGTTTTGCCAAACTATTTACATTTCTTTAGCTTTTACAGAATTGACCACTACAATAAAAAAAAGAAGAAAAAATTTTATTGATAATGTAATATGGGAGAAATTTAGAAAAACATACATAGAACTCCCTCAATAAGGAAACATACAATATCAAAATATGCCAGAGTTAGTATATCAAAACAAATCTCTCTAATAAGAGTTTCAAGTAATGCAATCATAAAAGAAATTGGCTAAAAAGTAACGTATATATACTGAGATGTTTTCTGTAATAGTCCTCTAAGGAATTAAAGGAAAGCAGCAGTAGATCTGTTTAACTACAGACACATATTTAGTAAATATATTAAGTGTATTTATATAATAAAAACTGCCCTGCACATTCATCACTATGTCTGTATCCTCCTCTATGTGGCAGTTGTCTCTTCAATTCTACAACAAGACACTGCTCAAAAAGGGACAAAAAGGAAACAAACAATACTACTAAAAAAAATGAGACCTAAGCCCGTGAGGTACAGCTTGTTGGGAAGCCCAGTTAACACAAAGCAGAGAACTCCGCGCTCTGACTTAGGTCCTTATTTTTCAGGAACACGGAAGAGGAAGTTTGTCTTTTCTGCATCAGGATGCCAGATTCCTACTTGCTAGTTATAAGCAAGTGCTTTCAACCAAGTAGACTGAAGTTAACACGGCTACTGATAGCACGTACACTGTTTGCTCTATTAAAACAGCCACATATGTTATCAGGCTCATTTTTCAATTACTTCCTTTGAATAGTCCCAAATTTCATGTTTTCTTTCATAAAACTTACTTATGGGAACATCATCCTTCAGTTAAAAATGAAGCTCTGTCTTGTTTAATAGGTAGATTCCAGGCAAGTAAAAAGTCTCATTTCATTAATCCTTACTATTTGCATCTTTCCCCATAAATAAGATTATAGTACATAATTTACAGTTAAGAGGAAAATACCTTAAACTTCCATGAGATAGTGTTTGAAAATCCAATACCTGAATTGTCTAGTGTACAGCTTAATGAGCTGCTCAGTCTCTACCCATATTAAGCCTAATGAAGAATGAAATTATACAGAAGTAGGACTATTGCATTTAGATCAAAATGCTGCTCTACAAACCATGACACTCCAGTCCCACTATTTTAGCCTACAATAACCAATATTACAAAGCACTCATAAAAAATCTTGGGGGAGGAGGGGAAGGGGAGGCAAACATAGGAGTTAGTGTTCTGATGGAAAACCTGATTTTTAAGTCTTGCAAAAAGCAAAGGCACTACATCTTAAGCTTATACTTAAATAAAGTCTAACTTGGCCAGCCAAGTTACAACATATACCCAAACACCTTTCATCTACCTTCGCAGCTGATTTACTAAGCATGTTGTAGTGTGTCTTGATCAGGTTATGTGACAAAATAGCCACTTTCCCTTAATCATTAAAGGAGATATACAGCTACAATACTTAGCCAAGCTCATTTGAGCATAGTTTATTTTTAACCATACCACGAGAGTTCAAGTTATAAGATAAACTGGAGTTTCTGGGTATAGGCCTTGCTTTAATAAGTGGTCAATCAGACATTAAAATAATTTAACTACTATGTCATCATTTTGACAGTCAGCTTGTATACCAATTTTAAAAGACGTTCTACATCTTTTATTAAGCCAATGAAAGAAGTGTCAGATCTGAAACTTAGTAGCCTCATTTTACTGTTTTTACAAGAAGAAAATTTTTGAGCTTTGTAAGTTGTTTCATATTTGGAGGCTCTAATTGCAGCTATATTATCATAATTATATAAATCTCACGAAGGTTATCGCTACTGTAATCACAGCACTCCTACAAGATGCAGCAGCCTTCAAGAGCAATGGCACTAAGCACGTCAGCAAACAAGTCCCTGTCTCATTCGAATGATCTGTAGTAAAGCAGCTTGGACATCTTCATCCATGTGACCCTAGAGCAAGCAAACACTCAGTTAAAAGAAAAACTAAAAATCCCATAAAGTGTCAACCATCCATTACTAACTAACATTAGGAGATTCTTCAAAATTACCCAATTAATTACTTCAAAAAGTCTTAACTCATTGCTGTATTTTCACCACTCCAGGAAAGTCTGAAACACTTTAGGAATCCTGTTGGTTTTTTTCTCATGAGAAAGAAGGGTCTGCCTCTCTGACACAGCAATTTCCTCTATGAAAATATGATGTGGGAAAAAATGACTGTTCCTATCCCTCTGGACTCCACAGCCTGCTGCTGTAGTAATGGTCCCTCTTTTGTATGCTTAAGTATCTGAAGTCTCAAGACTTGAATTAGTTGATCAGGTCTTTGCTCAGTGAGAGCCACTGGATAACTGTGCATTAAGTTTCCAACTTCTACTCGACCTCCCTCCAGCATTACCTGGGATGATGCAGAATTAATAACACGCTCACATCACCAGACACCACCACCCTTCAAAGCAGGTGATTTTTACATGTAGTTACACGTAGACAAATGGTAATAAGAAGATGGCACAATAAGACTACAGCTGTGGTATGCGTTTGCTTTTTTGTTGGATCAGTCCATTCTAAATTAAAACTCCCAACATGAGAACACGTACTTGATGCTAGTTTCAAGTTTATTTGAGGTCTTCCAGTATGGCAGTTAGAAACGCTTCTCAAGAATCTCTACATTGAGATGACAGAGTAAAACAATCTGAACTTGGGGCTATCATACCTGTACAGCACTAAGAAGATGTGTCCGATAAACTGAAACTACCTCTTGATGCTGTCTTTTAGCATCCTATAAAAAGAAGATAGGAAGAGAAGGTGAAGTCATCAAATTTTTAACATCTGCTCTTGCCCATTTCCAACTTTGTGGGCTTGGGTTTGTGCACTTATAGACTAGCCAAAGCAGAATTTCAAGGTTAAGGTTAGCTATATTCCCTCCATTAATCAAGAAAGTCACTGCTTCACTTTTTTTATTGCTTACTTGCGGCAAAGCAATTTTGCTGAACGGCTATCAGAGATAGGCTGATCTAGCGTGTCAGCCCAGGTGCTGAGATGAAAAACCCGTTTCATCAACAGCATTAGCTATTTGTTTAAAACCACGCAATTTAAGAATGCTTTGCCTTATAAGGGTGAACCTTGCAAATACTATTAAAGATGTATCCTACTTCTGTACAGATTTACAAATAACTAACTTTGCTCACATACATAGCTTTAATTATGAGCTTTATTGAAGTCACAGGGGCCACAAACATGTTTGTGCACAAAACCACAGTATTTACCATGAAGTGTGTTCCCCTTTACTGCTAGTACTTAATGATAAGCAATAGACTTCATACTGTTTGCAGAAAAGGGAACACAAAGTCAAATCCATTAAGAACGAACCACCTCACTTTCTTTCAAAGTGAGAAAATAAATGGCTGGTGGTTTTTGCAAGAAAATATTAACATGGAATTTGCATACAGAAATGGTCTTGGCATAAACTATAGCAGCATATCTTGTAAGCATAAGTTCTCTTTAAATTGTTTGTGTCCCTTTCGTCTGGAAAAGTTCCCAAAAATAAGAAATTCATGAATACCCTACTTTTGAAGTCTAAGCCTACAGTCAACCCCAGTGCTACAGTGACCTTCTTTATACAAGAAACTGTAAGCAATGCTACTGCATTTCAGACAACACCTTGCATGATTACTTACAGCTAGCTGTTGTTGTAGTGTTTTCACTTGGTTCTGGAGCATTTCAACCTGCTGGTTCTGCCTCTTTGACGGAATCCCAGTGGTATATGTAAGTTGAGACAAGCCATTAAGAGCTTGTTTTAACCGCTCTACGTCATTAAGCAGCTCTGTTATCTTTAAAAAAAAGCACACACAAACCTCATTTAAGGATTTCTCAACTACCAAAAACTAATATTCTTTAACATTTTTTAAAGTCTGATGAAGATCAGCAAGCATTGAAGGACCTTTGTCCCAGCTTGCCATCACACTGCCTAAGAGACTTCGCAAAGATAGAGGACTTCATTTCCATGACATGCTATCACTGGTTCACATCCTGCATCCTAGCATTGAAATCTGTAAGGTATGGAGGTATGGACCCTGGAGGTCAGCCAGCAACATAAATGACTTACACTCTAAAGATATTCTAGGTCTAATTTCTAAAAAGGACAACGAACAGTCAGAAGGCAAGCCAGAGATGCTAAACAAATACAGCTCTAAACTACATGCAAATATAACCTGTCTGAAGAAGGAATACATTTAACAAATACAAAACACAGCTCTCAAAACAACATAGAGTGCCTAATATCTATGTCAAATACCTTCCAGATTCAGAGTTAGTACTGTTTCTTACTCCTAGATTTTAAGAAAATGTTTTCACACTAACAATCTGCTAAAGTGAACCAGACATATTTAAGATCAATAATAAGCCCCCTTTAGGCATTTCAAAAGCTAATTGGTCACAAAATCATCTTCTTCCTTACATTGGGCTAACAACACCTTTCACAGAAAGTGCTAAAGTAGTTTATCCACACGTGGAAACCAAGCCAGGAGTATTTTTCGTATTTAAAAGTAAACTGAAAACATTCAGGTCACCAAATCGATGGAAGAATGAGCTTATACCCCAGAAGTCTGAAACTCAGCTTGAAAGTTTTAGAGTTTAAACACAACAAATGATGCCTGAAACATATGAGGAATGAGAAAAACTTAGTATAATGCTACCAAAATCAGGACTTCATCTTAGCAGATTTGGGCCGGTCCTGGGTACCTAATGCTCAGCACACACAGTCATTCTTGAATACCTAGGTAGCTATATTTGAAGTGTAGTTCCTTACTGCTAAACTGAAAATGTCAAGAGCATTAACTGATGAATCCTACCTTGTTATCCTTGGCTTCCACCTGCTTTGCAGATTCCTGTATTCTCTTCTGCAAGTCAATAATTGTTGTCAATGATTTATCACACCTTTCTTTCTGGTCTTTGATTTCTTGCTCAATACTGCAACTCCGTAACTGAAGCAACTCCTTTTCATCCTTTAAAGAAACCTCACTCTTTTTAGCTTGCAAAGCCTCCTCACATGCTTCCTCGTACTTTTTATTCATATTGGACAAATTTTCAGCTATGCTATTAATCTGGGCCTCCAGAGTACTTTTCATGGTTTTGTATTCTGATATGTCAATCACTTCTTTGCTCTCCAGGTCTGTTAAAGCTTGCTGAGTAAGCTGAATCTCAGACTGCAACTTCAAGATTTCCTCATTTTTAACTTGGTTTTCTTCTTCCTTTTCTTTCAAGCTGTTTTTGGTTGCTACAATTTCTTGTTCTAGCATTTCCTTCATTTGCGTATATTCTACCAAAGGTATTGAAGATTTTTTTAGATGTGACAATTCCTATACTTTTAGTGTTTCTTTGTCATAACATTCCTTCTTACTTCTGAGGGCTTCCCTTAGATCCTCTATAGTGTGACCAAGAGCCTTCTTCAAGGCTTCAATTTGTTCTACTGAAAGATGCTGAGCCTGCATAATTATGGGCTGCTTGGTACTGTCTTGCAGCTCATCCTTCTCTTCTTTTTGGCCTGTGTATTTCTGCAGTAATTCTCTTAATTGCTTATTCAACTCCTCCATTTTGCTCGCAAACATTTTTTCCATTTCACGGGACTTCTCAGCAAGGATATAGTTCTGCTGCAAGTCATTTTGGATGGACAAAATGCCATTTTTGAGCTTTTCATTCTCCTCTTTGCACTTCTTGTTTTCCTCCTCACTTTCTCTGCACTTCTGCGCCTGCTCGTGCAACTGCGCTTTTAATTCTTTCACTGTGGCTTCAAAGCTTAGTTCTCTGTCTTCAAAGGAGGCAACTGGGGCATATTTTGACTTAATGCATTCTTGAATTGTGTCAAGTTCTTTCTTTTGGGCTTCAATTTCTGCATGCAACTGTAAAATTTCTTCTTGACCCCTCTTATATTCAGCCATAATCACAACACTGTTCTCCTGAAGTTCTTGCATGCTTTTATTTAAAGTAGTCACTGTAGTTTCATGATCTTTTAAACTTATATACTCAGTTTGTAATTGATTCTGTAAGAGTTTCACCTTATTTTTCAAAGTTCCATTTTCTTCATTTACCCTCATGAATTCTTGCTTCATCTCTTCAGTTTGTTCCTTCAGATCTGACAGCTCCCTGTTAGTCTTTTCTAGTGTGTTATTCAAGACTGTTTTAATCTCTTCGTGTGTTGTAGCCAACACATACTGATCCCTAAGAGTCTCTCTTATGACTGCGTTTTCAGAGACTAGTTTGCACACTTTTGCTTGTTCATCATCATATTTTTTCCGAAACTCAGCAAGCTGCTTTTCAAGTTCAATGCCATTAGATTTTAAAGCTTCCACTTCTTTTTTGTGCTGCTCTGGAGACAGGTACACAGCTTGGAAGTGGCTGATATTCTCACTTAAGTTGTTCTTCTCTGCCAGCAACTTTTCAGCTTCTGCTTTGCTTTCATTGTACTTTTTTGTTATTTCAAAAAGCTTTTTGGTCAGGTCACCAACAGTCAGATCATTTGTTTTCTTCAATTCTTCATGAATTTTTAAAGGCACATTCTGGCTTTTAATTTCAGTTTTTAGCATTTGGATTTGCTGCTTAAGCATCTTGTTATCGATCTGCAATCTTTCAAGTTCCTTCTGCAGAGTCTGATTCTTCTGTGATAATTCAGAAATTTTCTTCCCAAGTTCCTCATTTTTTTGCTCAAACCCACTCCTCATTTGTTCGTGGTCTTCTGGCTTTACATGCTGAGCAAGTTTAGCTTTCTGACTCTCAGATTCCCTCTTTAAAAGCAGAATCTCTGCCTGCAGTTTTTCATGCTCTCCTCCCATCTCTGCTAACTTCCTTGCTTTCTCATTCACTTCATTTGATAACAAACTCTTCATGTTTTCAAATTTCTCTGAAGTTACAGAGTGGGCTAACTTTGCTGCTGCTTCTTTGAGCTGCCCTTCTAACTCCATGACATTTCTTCCCCTTTTATCTCTCTCCATCTCCAACTTAACAAGTTCCTTCTGCAACCTTTTATTTTCCTCCACTAGCCTTCCTTCATCTCTCTTAAATTCTGCCACCAGCAATTCATTCTGCTTAATCTGGTTCCTTAGTTTTCCCACTTCAGCAGAGGCTCCTTCATACTTCGTTTTCATTTCTTTCAGCTGATCCTTCAGCTCCTCTGTTAGCTGACTGTTTCCCGAAGCAGCTTCATTAGTCAGGTGATCTTTCAGTGCAAGAAAGTGGGTCTGCATTTGCTTAACTTTGCCTTCAGAGTCAAACATTCTTTTCTGTACATCTTTTAAAGCGTCTTCCAGTTGTTTTATCTGTCCATCAGATTCCGCCTTGGTTCTTTCACACTCTGATGCCAAAGCTTTACATTCAGATACCTTGTGAGACAGTTCTCTCTGCAATTTGCTGATTTCTTCTTTTGCTGCACTGTAGCAGGTCCTCATGTTGTCAAGTTCTTTCTTTAAAGTTTCCTTCTCTGAACTGCATGATTGGTTAGGCAGGGAGAGCTCCAGGGGTCTCAGCATAGATCTAGACTGAAGATAAATTGGCACAAAAATGGATACCTGTTTACAAGTTTGACAAGTCATATACATATGACCTGTCATATACATAACTGTCTTAAATCTCCGTTGATATGAGCATAAAATTTGTCTGAGATTTCTTTTTTTTCTTAGAAACACACTAATCTATTCTTGCCCATATTAAACACGTGTATTTCAGCTTTTAACAGTAAAAATCTTGAATATAGCTCTACATTACTGTTTCCCAATCATCAGACCCTACTGACATTAAAGCGCTTGTACAGTATATTAATTTCATTTCCCTTGTTATTCATATTTAATCACTCATCTGCTAGAAGAAATTTAATTTATTAAGAGATTTCCCCTGTCCCTCAAGCATGTGAAAATAATTTTAAAAGGAATCACAACAGAGTATGTCATGGTTAACAGAACCTTCTCTCTGAAAAGACTGAGGAAAACAGTAATTTAATTTACTGTCCAGTAAAGGATATCTCAAAAAAACAGTTTTGCCCTCCTGCCATGTAGTCTTCACTACCAGCTGTCATGGCTATTACATGGCACAGGCTCGCTCCAATGATCTGTTCCAAGGACCAGAAAGCAGTATGTAGCTTCCACACATGACTAGCTTAAAGCCACGTAATTGCTGCTTGGGACATGGTTTGGGTTTTTTTGGTTGGGTGGCTTTTTGTGCCCACCCCCACTCCCCTTTGTTCTGTGGTTTTGGTTTTTTTTTTAGAATTGCACATCAACTCATTTTAAACTTCAACTAAGAACAAAAAAATCCTAAGTCTGTTGGATAGCCTTATGTAAAACATGGCAGAAAAGACTGGATTTTTCTGTGTTACCAGCAGAACATACAAAATACATGTATCAGTGAAATCTAGCAAGAAAGCATAGGATGTTAAGATTTATTTCTAGCCATCACTCACTTCTGGAAGCATTACAGCTGAAATACTCAAGTGTAAGAACAGTTTGTCAGTTAGGATGAATTCCTATCACATATGACTCACTGTAAAAGCCTGACAGGCCTTGTTAATTTCTGGATTGTGGCTTTAAAAGGTAGCTATCTATCAGCAAACAAAGTTGGCAGGTAATTATTATACAGCTGGCAGTAAAATAAAGTCTTCTGAGTTTTAGCTGAATTTAAAATAGGAAAAAATTATGGAGGTGAATAACCAATTGCACTTCACGCTGACTGTTGATCCAGCAGTCTGTTGATTCAGTTTTAAGAATGCTCATTACAGACCGTTTAGTATTTGACATTTTCACAGCATTTAGAGCTATGTCACATATGTAACTCTAGAGGGCACCAGGAGTTAAAAATAAACATAGCAAAGCGAGTATTACAGAAAATTTTGTATTCAAGCAACGTTTAACATATGTACATTTTTAAGTATATTTAGCTTTCCCAAGCATAACTATCTTAGAATTCTCTCAAGTGGCAGAATATTTATTACCTGTGATTCCACAGCAAACACTTGGCCTTGCTTAAGTAATAAATCTTCTTTTCCTAGATTTGCAAAGCAAACAGCATTTAGTCTCTGTTTAAAAAAAAGTAACACATAATCACAAGAACTATGATTTTCCTTCCTTATTTTATTCTGTTCAATGGGACTACACTAGGCTGCAGCCTGGTGTTTAAGTACTTGGTATTAAAACAACTGCTCCTTAATTAAGTCACATAGGAAGTCTGGACAAACTCCTACTAACAAAAAAAAAAAAATAATACCCCTACTATGCCAGGCTAGGTATTGTTCTGCAAAACAGTCAGGAAAGCCACCTTGAGCTAGCTGCATGTCTGCACATGAACACACCAGGGAAAAGCACCCTCTTGCACTCCAAATAAATGATCCTTCCTGACAGGCAGCCAAACAGCTCTCGCAACAGCTTATGACAGATTAAGTAACATTTTAAGTTACACAAGTGCAAGACAGGCCTGTAACCAAGTTGGATGCAAAAGACTTCCGTTTCTGGAAATGGAATCATTTCTAATAGGAGTGTTGTGTTTATAGTCTTGTGTTTAAAGTCGCTTTCAAACCTGCCTACACTCAAGCTTTCACGATGACCATAGTTTTCTTGTCGTGAGTTAGACATGAGTGGTGTTTGAGATATGAAGAATGTAACGGGGAAGACCCAATTTGGAGCACAGATCTTGCTGAGCCTGTTTTCCATGTTATTAGAAGACGTAGCAGAGTTACAATGCATATTTCACAAGACCAGTCACTCACAAGCGAGACTGATCAGTGCCCTAGCACTCTGGTACAATCACAAATGGGGCTAGCTGACTGTATTCTGCACATTATACTTGGCTATAGTTAAGACCAACAGAAGAAAGAGATGACAGAAAAAAAACACCCTTTGTCTGTGTATTCTAACACTGCATCATGCATGGCAAGTTTTAAGAATTAAATATACTTACTATTACCAAAGTTACTTCCAGATCCCACAAAGTCAACCTAAAAGCAAACAACAAGAAACACAAAAATAAAGCTGAAAATTCATTTCAAATTTTTACTAATCCCTGAGTTAAGGATTAAAGGACAAGGAAAGCTTTTACAATGAGATAACCATTTAAGACTTTCAACAATTTAAAATTGCTTAAGTATTTACTACTATAAATATCAATTGCTATATTACATTTCAAATCAATTAACGTACTTCATAGTATTTGAGTCTAGCTTTGAGAGCTTCAATAGTTCTTAAACTTTCTTCCTGCTGTTTTTCCTTGGTAGTAAGGATTTTCTTCAACTCATCTTTCTGAAAGAGAAAGAGTGCCAAATAGCCAAAGCCACAAGAATGGCCAGATTTGTAAGATCTCAAGCAACTTTTAAAAAAGTTTAGAGAGAACTTCAACCAAGATCAGCACTGAAGAATACCTGAATTTTTGATTCTGAAGTTCTTCCACAACACTGCTCCTCTACAAGAGGAGTCTCGAAGAACGAGTCAAGGGAATAAGCACCAACGTAATTTGCTATTGTTTAATTTATTTGCATTTATTAGTCTTGCATTACTGAAAGTCACTAAAGAGATACTTGTAATATTAAGTCTGCTTTAAAGGTGCCATAGGGATTACATATATTATTTGTAGTAACAGAAACGCTGTGCAGCTGTATAAACTGAACATGTATCAGTAGATATTTCATTTAGCATTTATAGATAGCTTTTCTTTTCTCTATAGTTTTAAATACCATTACTTAAATGCAATAGTCACTTCCCCTATTTCATAGTTCTATTACACTTTAAGATGATGTATCGTACCTCATTTTCAAGATCATCTGCAAACATTTGCTCCTGCAAAAATAACAAAAAAATTCCCCCACAAATCATTTTTTCAATAATGTTTAAGGGGCTTATACACAGTTCATTAGTTGACGAGTCTACCCCAGTTTCTACTGCTAAATGCTTCTGACTGTTCCCCTTCCATTTACCATCTAATCTCTGGCAAGAGAAATAAAAATAAACAGAAGTTAAGGATGTTTGACAGAGCCATGTCTCTTGACATGCATACTAGGAAACTGCAATCTTTTCAATTATCTAGATCATACACTACTGTGGCAAAAGAGTACAGTTTTTTCAGTAGAAGTTTGCTGATTTGGGGAAGTGAGTATTAAGGAGTTTGTGGGTTTTGTTTGTTTGCTTTATAAAGGCAATGCTTAAGAGAGAAGTTCAGACAAGCCAACTACTATGAGAAGAAATATTCTTTCTATCTGTGTGCTACATTTAGGGGAAGCTGCATACACTTTTTAAATGTACCTCTGCAAAAATACAGTGAAGGAACAAACGTGAGCCTCCACAAAGCAAGGAAAAAAAAAAAATCCTGCTTTTATTTTCTTCCTCAATTGTACTGGTCCTTTAGACCTCTAAGAAGAGGGAACTTTTTTTAAAAACAGGGTTTCAAATGTGGGTGAGAAATTCCCTACTGAAAACCCTTGTTTCTGTTTTTGCCAATTGAAGATTTTTCTCTGTGTTTCCACTTACAGTAACAGCTAGAAAATAAGCAGTGGCTATGATAAAGTACTGACACACAACACCTACATTTAATTGCACAGATGAAGTTTACTCTCCAAATTACAACATGCTAAAAGACCTCATGGTTCATGTTACATCGCAAAGTATAGCCATAAATGTTTTGCTCAGATTTATGAGTATCAGTGAACGATGTTGTAACACGTCCCCTCACATTCTGAGTATTACTACAAGACCAAAGGCTTTTGCAGCAGAAGAAAGGTGACAGTGACCCATATACATATAATTCACAGGAAAGCAGTGAAGATCGCATCCTAATTACACATGTTTTCCTTTCTACTCCTACCAGCCTTTGCTGTCAGCGTCAGGTGGTTATTAACAGCTTTCAAGTCAGGTTATTCCAATACTAGGTTTACCTCATTCAACTGTAGTTGTAGCCCACTGATTCTATCCAGCAGCATCCTTTGCTCCTCTTGCACTTCTCTCATTCGATCTTTCAAATCTTGATTTTCTAACTCCAATTCCTTGAAAAGTAAGTAAAAAAGAAAATTAAAAAAACAAAAAACACTACACTACACACAGATTGGGAAAACTAAAGAATCTGAACCAACAATTTGAACAGTCATTAAAGACATCAAGCCTTGCCTAACAAGCCTCCTAATGACTCTGTGGCCTTACTTCAGGTCTGTTTCATTCTGAAGGTTTACATAAGCGCAAGCTCCAGGGTCTTCAAACTTTTCGGCTCTAGCTAGCTCATTCTCATGTAAGTGTACATACAGGTTTTGAAAGTAAGAGCAGAGCAAGATTACATTCAATTCTGACAGCACTCAAGAGGCTGCTTATCTGCTGTCTGTTAACAAGTAAAAATAAGTTAAAACAGTTCCTGAAACCCAACCACTGCAGCCAAAGGTGTAATGAAAAAGTGTCACCAGCATGAAGCATAGCAACCTTTAAATGTGCTAACTGTTCCAGCAGCCACAAGAATTACCCTAGAAACGTATAATAGATCCAACACATGAAAATGATAGGTCTTCGCACCATCAATCAGTTCAGTGCTCACATGCAAACAATAAAGCATGTTTAACTCTTGCCTGATAATCGCCGCCTTAACTGTGGTAACTACTTTAGCTCAAACCAGAGAAGTTGCATTTAGAGATCTTTATCCTTTTATTACAAAGCATTTCAGAACGAAGGCCTCAGTGGTTTGTTCCCCATAGCTTAAAACGTTGTTTACCTTTTTGAAAACTGTAATGACATAGTAATGAGATGAGAAAATTAATACTGGTTAATAGAACAATTATGACACAGGTTATTTTCAGGAAGACACTTAAACACACATCTCTCGATAATGTTAAAAAAACAAATCTTCCTGGTTTGTGACCCTATGATTCTACTGCAGGTGAAAGTAATAGACAGATAGAGATAGGAAAAGTTAAGACATGAAGAGACTTGCAACTGTTTATCACACAAACAAGGTTTTTTTTTTTCCCTGAAAAAGTTTACAGCTTATCTGCATAATTGCCACATTACACAGTCATGCAATTAAGTTTTAAGTAAACAGCAATATATGACCTTTCTTAATGGAATCGCTAATGCTTACTTACAAGCACATCTTGTCTTTAGTATGTCTGGTTCATCATGCATATGGGAATACGCAAGTCAGAAATCCTTCTCGCTTACCTGAGCATTATGTTCCTTCTGATACAGCTTGACATTCACCTCCTCCTGCGCATGCAGCCAATTCCACTTCTGTGACATATTAGTAATCTGTTATTGCAACAGTAAAGTATTAATTTATATTCCTGTTGTGTTCTGCAGACATCCATTTCTGGGGACAGTGGGCTGGTCTCAGCCTTCATTTCAGCTTCCACTGGGGGCAATACTACCAACATTCACATTTTGACAGATCGCTTCTCAGTAAGAGGTCATTCATGATCTCATCCAGATAGTAAATGGGATGGATGCTTGTCAAAACTCTAATCCTAAATACGCACATCACTGAGTATTTTTCAAATAGAAGTAGACACGCCATCCGATTACAGAGGGAATATTCTCAGCTACACATGAAGTTAAGAACTAAAAAAATACTGAACTAGTTTTGCATCATAGCACAATCTTAATCACCCTCTCAACAATACCAGAGATACACTGCCTTAGGAGATACTTAGTATAAGCAGCCTTACCTTTTGTTCAGGCTGCCCTTTCTTCATGGTATCTCTTGCTGAAAAAGCACCACAAAAGTAAGAAGTTAAAAAATGCATTTCATTCGGATTCATGCAACACATTCAGCTAATTCTTTCAAGTTTTAATCTTGGGAGGACATTTCAAGAAATGGATTCACCACCCGCCCAGTTAATCAGATATGGAAACATTCACAAGTACAAAGTTTTTCTATAGATAAGGCTAAATAACTCCTATGATCAATACCGCAATGCCAGGTTCAGCAATGTTAATACCTCAAGGCATCAGAATCTGCATTAACCCTAAAAGCTTTATTAAAAACAAACAAAACCCAAAAGCCTTCTTCCCCCTCCCAAAAGGCAGTTTATCACCTTTTTGTTTAAAGGACTATAGCTGCAGCTGCCCTCCAAAAAACAGTTCCTGAAGACATAGCAGTGGGAAGACACACAATTCAAATGAAAGAATAACAGCAAACTGTTACAGCCATGTTCTTCATACCTTTGCTGGAGTCCTCAACAGCAGCTTTTATTAAAGCCAAAATGTCAATATTGTCACCAATTCTGGCGTAGTAAGCACAGTCATGACCAAGGCCATCAGTCAAACTAACATCCGCACCATTTTTGAGCAAAATTTCTACTGCATCCTTGCAGCCGTATTCACAGCCTAACATTAAGGCAGTCCTGAGGATGGGGAGAAACATTGCATTCAGAGACTTGGGGATCTCACGCTTTAATGGAGCAATCACCTACAGAAATAATCCTTTGTAGACTTATGTCTAACCCATGGAAACGTGAGTCAAGTAATCTTTCCTCTATCAAAAGAGGAAACTAAGCTTTAAAAAGTCATTTAGTCAATGTTTAAATATTTGTTAAAAAGCAAACAAAAACACTGTAATAGCAGTATTTTCATGCAACCCAGCATAAACCTACTGCCTTTGAGAGAGCCACCCAGTGTTTTGAAAACTTACGTGACTTTTGGCTTCCTCTCTACTTAGATACAAATCTCCATAGACACAATAAAAACAAGACAAGAAGTTCAGACAAAGTTTGGGGGGCAAGTGCTTGGGAGGCCTGGCAATGCCTTCCAAATAATTGCCAGCTTCAGAACATGCAATGCAAGTACCCATGCTTTGTCCCACAGCAGCCTCATGTCCACTGGCCACCAGGCAGTCATCCTCCAAGAAATAACTCCAAGAAGCAGCAGCTACAAATAGAAAACCCCTCCCCTGACCTCCTTCCATGAATATAGAAGCAAACATTTCAAGGTGTTTAGGTCCCTTCGGAGCTGCAATGGAACTCAAGTCCTTCTTGACAGACTACCACTTTTGTTAGGATCCATTTTGCGTATTGATCCCAAAGGGTGCAAGATGCAGCTTGGGACAGACAAACCCTTAAAGCAACCAACTGCAGTTCATCTGCTGGCAGTAACAAGCCTATATGTATTTTAGATGCAAGAACAAGCAATAAGAAAAGGCCACACTTATCTGCGTTATTGAATTGGCGCATCTACTTCTGAACTAAATCCCAGGTTCTTTTCCACTGAATTTAGCATATTTATTCTGTAGCCTGAAAGGCAAGGGATAGCTTTCTACCCTTTAAATGTCAGCAGGCATTCTGACAACCCTCTGCATGCATTACCTGTTTTGTTTGTCCCTGGCATTAACATCTGCTCCTCTGTCTATCAGAAGCTGACAAACTGTGGGACGACACATCTGAGTGGCCAGCACTAGTGGTGTCCTCCCATCCTGAAGAGAGGAAGGGAGAAAGAAATAAGGAAAGGGAGACAAAGCAGAGAAAGTACATGAACTCCAATAGGGTTTGTACAGGGGAGGGCTATAAGCAGCAACTTACTCCGTCTTTTGAATTCACTGAGGCCCCATGATCACACAGTAGTTGTATGCTAGAGGAACAGTCTGACATAGCTTTCAAGAGAAAAAGAAAGAGCAAGTTATACTACTGAAAACAGCCTTCGTGAAATTTCAACCACCTCCTTGGGTGTATTTGTTTCACAAAAATTCATGTAACTAAGTTAAAGCATGACAAAGCTCTATGACTTAGTTCTCACACAACCATCTCAAAAGCACATGAAAGAAATCAAACACTACTGTTCAAGACACCGCAGAGCACAATGAGGCTTCAGACAATCCAAAGCAAAGGTATCTTAACCTACTAACATCATTGCTCTAAAACGCTGCTCATGATACTTGCTTTAAGATTTTACTAGACAATTTATGAGCATCAGAAGATACTTTCAGACCTACAACCTCTGCTAAGTCTGTTAACAAGTTTGTTACTGAGGACAAATGTCATGACAACATAAAGTATTTTCTCCTTCTATAGTAACCAAAATTAAAAGAGAAGGATTTGACCCATCTGAAGATTAATCCATTAATTAAATCTAGATTTCATACTACAGTTACCTACAGAAAAGCAAAACCTTTTACCTGCGTCATGAAGAGCAGTTCTTCCTTGAAGATCCACATTCTCCGTTGGACAATTGTACTGTTAAGATAAGTAACCCCAGTTATCAATTAGGATTCAGACTGCACTTACAGAACATGCAATGTTTTGAGGTTTGAATTAAAGCAGTAAAAAGTGATTTAAGAAAAAAAAAATAATGTAAGTTTGTAGTTTACAAATATACTGACATACATCAAAGAGCGAGCTATGGGTACATGCACTTTAGTGTTCTAAACATGTTGATCAAAAGTTGTAGAAGTAAATTAAGACCGTGCAAAGAACACGCACAATTCATCACAGACTTTTCACAAATACTTCCAAATGTTCATTCACTATGGTTAAGATTCTCCACTACTTGTCATTACTCCTTTGCTACCAGTATCACTACTAGTTCTGGCACTCCACAGAAAATGTGCCATTTATATCTGTATGGAGACATGCATCAAATAAACAGAAGGTGAAAAGAACCCATAAAAAGTTCCAAAAAAAAAAAAAAAAATCAAATGAGCATAAACTGACCAGGAATAAATGAAACAAAAAGTAAATATCACAGAAACCTAAGACAACCCCCCAATATTGTTTCATTAATGAAAGATTACGCATATAAAATTCTTCTTTTGAAAAAAACACTACTCTTGGGCAGACCTTTCAGTGTTACTGTTTCTAAATGCAAATGTATTCAGAAAAGGAGCACTAGTCTTTAAAAGACACTCAAGTCCATTTTCTTTAAGAGGTAGAAACTGCAACTTGATTTGATTATGTGGAGAGGAAGAGATGTTTATTTTCTTTATTTTAGCAGTCTTTCAGCCACAACCTGTTATTTAATATGAAAAGGTCTTTTCCCCATGACTGTCTTATTTTTAAAAAAGAATGTAATTGTTTAAAAAAAAGAGAGAGAGATGAGTGGCGTATCCCAATTTTGAATCAGTATATTTAAGAGCACCATTTTTTTTTCTTCTCAAGAATAAAAACCGTAACAACAGACAAGTTGTATTTTGCAGTACCTGCAACAGCTTCTGCAAACATAAAGCATGTCCGTATTTTGCAGCTAGGTGCAATGCATTTCTACCTAAAAAAGAGAGATCAACATCAATTCAGGATCTATTTTGAACATGCATTTAGAAATACCACACAAATTCAACATGCCTATGCTGTTTCTCAAAATCTATTACTAATCACATAACACTAATTCATAATTCACTAAAGCATTAGCACAGTTTATTTCATCTTTACAAAAAACTGTCTTCTGCCTCTTCCATAATTCCATATGCTTCATTACTGCTCATATGTTAGGTGTATGAAACATCAAGATACGTGTGCCATTAGACTGCTAGATTGATTTCATAAGAGACAGTTTAGATCAACATCTGCATCAATTTAGATAAAACGGTCACTTCCCCCCCTTAATTCTGCTAGTACTATAACTAAGTCATCTATCTCATACATACTTCACTATTTGCTAAACAGTCTTTTCTTATTTTAGACAAACAGCAACCAAGGATTCAAGTTCCTGAATAGCGAAATTAATCTCAAAATACTGCAAATGACTCCACATAAGCATTTTAAAAAAATGAGATGACATATGAAAGGAGGCTAAATTATTTCTGTAATGAAGTTGAAAAAAGGCAGTATTTGTTAAGCATGTTAAATTATGAGGTAAACAATCTGAGGCAAAATTAGCACCCATTTTTAATTACCTCTTTGATAACACTTTCACATAAACTCTGATGACACACACGCAAACCAAGAAGGTAGCACAGAGGCACTCTGAAGTTTTGAGGGCTCACCTACTATATCATTTAATTCTAATCCTCATTGTGTACAGTGTTTTAAAAGTCTCAGTAAAATACGCTTAGTATTTAAATGAACACATTTAAATTCATTTAAAACAGTTCTTACACTGTTATTCTCAACCAGAAATACTGATTTCAACAGTGATACTGGAGCAGACTATATATACAGTTACAGCAGCACAAAGCCAAAGTTCACAAGTTCTGCTGCATGTCAGGGGCATTCATGAACTTACGTTACTGGCCATGACCAGTTTCCTGTAAGTTTAGCAACCAGTCACCCAGATGATAATTTTTTTTGCCAACCACAGGGAAATCCATGGAAAGGAAGAACATCTATCCTATAGTTTAGCTTAATCCCACTCCAAAACAAAAACCAAGCTGAGAACTTTAGCGAGTTGCACTTAGATATTTGAGGAAGCCTACCTGCAGCATCAGTAGCTGTGATATCAGCTCCATGAATAAGGATGGTGTTCAAGCAATCCAGGTTTCCCTTTGACGCTACAACATGGAATCTAAAAATAGAAAATACCTTGCTTAAGCACAACTGTTTTATAGACAAAACTGGTAACATGAACCAGGAAAGTCAAAGCAAACCGTTGCTTACTGAAAGCGTTATACAGTACAAAGCCAGCTTTGGACAGCATCAAACCTAGTTAAGAGTTTTGCAGTTTTTACTTTAAGGAACAAGATGATTTCTTGGCGAAGTAGTCATTATTTACCTTGAATCAGTGACCCAGGTGAAAAACCAATATGCTTTCCATTTCTCTTTAACGTTCAAATCTGGCAAGAGCAAGTATTTAAATACTGATCTTCATTTTGAAGTGAAGATTGTTTATGAGAATTTGACCTTCTAGCTATCTAGTATTCTAGTTTAGATGAGGCTAGAATCTAACATGATGTATTACATGGATTTATATATTAAAAAGAGTTTTTAGAGCAGCAGCAAGATTCAGGAATTGAGTAACTTTCAGTAGCTTCCCAATACCATTATTGAAGTACTGGAAGTTACTTACGCAGATCTCCCTTCCACATCCAGTTTAGTAGGAGTGACTCCTTTTTTGGCAAGGATTGATGAAACCTTTTCCACATCGCCCCTTTCAGCTGCTTTCATTAATCTGTCATCATATTTGTTCCAGTCTGTGTTCAGCTGAATAAGAAAGAATTAGAAAAGCAAGTGAGCTAATGATACAGTATTGATCTACTAAAGCAACTTCAACAGAAGGCTGAATCATATGCAACTGGCAGGGTGGTAAAACAAAAAGTATCTTGGTAACAGGTACAACTCTATCTGTAAAAACGTTTATTTATGTACCACAACACTGTAGCATTTCAATCAGGCTGTTAACATTGAATGCACAGTGCTCTGAGACAGTCTGGTTAAGTCACTTTGGTCCTAAAGGAGACCTTTAGGATCAAACCTCTTGGGTTTTCCTTGTTCTGCTTTGTTCTGTCTAATAGGACTAAAACTAAAGCCACACACAGTAGCTCCCTATCCTCATTCTCAAATAAAAAGTTTTCAGACAGTTTCTCATATTAGGTTGTCTTTAGATACCTTCCTTCTCGTCCTTCTATTTGCCATGTGAGGCTGCCCGGACAGCTACCTTTTCGCTTCATCTTTACTTTCTCTTCTCTCATCATGGACACTTCGATCCTGCCTAAAAAAATACGTCTCTCCCCCCACAGTGGTTGATTAACAAACACAAAAAACTGCTACATAGGGCTGTGATAAATTAAGGACTTCACACAACAAAGGAAGGGCTAGCAGGTGTACTTGTATACATACACACTTTATAGAAGAGCAACTTGTAATATCTCAAAAACGTCGCAGTGTGTCTAGAAGGGACTTCATAAGTCATGCAGACAGGGAACCCCACACAAGACCAGCTATAGCTCTGCACTGTTGTCCCAGTACTCGTGTAACTCTCAAAAGCTCCACTGAAGGAAAGGGTAGAGCGTCCAAGGAGACCTGCAGTTCAGTCCTTCATTAATCGTGTCAGAGAACATTTTTCCTAATGCCTAGGAAATCACATATTAATCTCTCCACTATGCACATTAAGAACTCCCCCCCGCCTTTTCTCTATAGCACCTATGTATCTGAAAAGCTGTCTCTTCTTAGCCTCATGCCCTTTAGGGAAGGCACATCAATTGTCCTCTCACATCAACAAGGCAATTAACTCGATTAACTATATGAAAACTGGAGAGTTTCTTGTTCATCTTGTTTGGCAGTTGGACTAATGATCATTGTAGGTCCCTTCCAACTGCAATAATCTATTCTAGTCCATCTTTATTATCAATCATTTGAATTGTAACAGCCTAAATAAAACAATCACGTTTCATTTCTATATATTAAGTATCTGTCCATGCCTCAAAAGGTACAAATTAATAAACAAGATGCAACGCAAAGGAACAGATAAGTGAGGAACTGCAAGTACAGAGCCTGAAATACTACTGCTAACAGCTTCCAATCTAAGTAATCAGCTTCAGTATAATTCTTTCAGTATTCATTAAAAATTATTTCATAAGGAAGTGGGCAGACAAAATACAGCTGCTACAATTTTCCCCTCTATCAACCTTTGTATAGTAAAGGTACCATAGAGAACTCAACAGGAGAGCTCTGTGAGATATTTAAACAGGACAATTATGAAATACATGTAATGAACAGCAGACTTCAGTTTTCATGAATTCAGCAACACATGAAATATGTACTAAATTTAGCCCTCTCTAAACCAAGTTCACATTTATCAAGAACAGCTGAGCTTCCCAGCTTTACTGAAAGTTACACCGTTTTTCGTGTTCAATGCATAACTAAAACTGATGAAAGAACATCAGAAAAGCAAAAAGCAGAGACCCGATTTTCACCTCACCAACTCATGCAAGCTGCTTTTCCTCAAAATGTTCTTTCATCCACTCGCAGGGGTGCCGAGTTTGATGCTGCTTCCCACCCCACATAACCGCAGGCTGCTGCCAAGAAAAGCATCCCTCCCCAGCCGCTCTCCCTCCGCTTCCGGTGCCTCAGGCCAGGGGAGCACGCTCACCCTGCAGCTGCCCAACAAGCTGATCCGTAAGAAAATGTCTATGGAGAGCACTGCCATCGAACCAGCTCGCCGAGCTGATCCGCCTGCAGCCAGGTACCAAGGAAGGAAAGGCACAAGCACACAGCAGGGGACGGCGGCGGATCTGATATGACAGCAGACCGAACCCCAACCCTGCATGGTACGAAACCAAATGCTGAAATGCTGCAGGTCAACGTACGTACACATGTGACATCATACAGAAACGTACTTACTAATTCAACTCATTGAATTTGGCCATTCTTAAACATAGATCTGAACAGGTCCCAAGGTCCCAAGCAGTTTTCAGATTTTAACATCGAATGGATATGCTAAAAATATGCAAGGGGACACAGTTTTTCCTGACTGTGTCAGACTGTTCAAAGGGCCAAAACTTAGCTAAGTGTGATACTCAAGAGATGAACATCTATTGAAAGTAGTTCAAAGTTTATAGCTTTAAGTTGCCTGCAATTACCAAAGCAATGTAGAGCGCAAAGAAAGTACAAGTCAGTTATAAATAAGACAACCACGCATTCAGCCACAGACATTCGTCACCCCCCACTTTTTCCTTGTTTACTTCAAATTTAGAATTTCAGGCCACAGGCCAAGCATCCCAGCCCAAAACTCGGAGCTTGTTCTCCTCGTTGCCAAACCATCCTTTCTGAATGGCTTTACACTTTTCAGGAAATTCTGTTCTGTGACAGAAACCTCATGGCCAAGCTGAACTCTGACGACTTGATATTTAAGAAGCTTTTAACACAAGAAAAAGGCTTATAATAGAATATTATATTCAAATCTAACTCTACACAGCAAAAGAATTTACTGATAACAGTGAGACATAAGCAGCCTGTAGGTGTACGAAGTTACTTATCACTGTGGATCGTAAGTTCCATGCCTCACTGGATAAAGAACATTAAAACTGGTAAACCTAATACTTTCCGAAATAGAGCAGCTGAAAACATTTTTGTTTAAGTGAGAAAGCAGCCTATCAATCCCGTATCCTTCATGTTGCGTTCATCACAACACACTCCTCCACCTCCTTAAAGCACCGAACCCACTACGCAGAAGTCTTAGCAATCTTCATGTGAAAGCAAGAAGAATAATAACAGATAAAAATCAAAAGCTATGTACAATCTTCATGTTAAAAAAAATACAGTTACGTTCTATCAAGACAGGACTACCTTCTCCTTAAAACTTACTAGCAAATTTTTCAAGATTTGATGTAATAAAGTCTGGAAGATCCACAATAGAGAGCGCCAGTGCCAATTAGCTAGTTCTCAAAATGGTCATTGCCCAGAGCTGCAGCAAGCAAGGTCTCGCCTTGCACCGGAGCCAGGGTTTGCCAGGTAAAAGAGGAGATTCAAAAAAAAGAACAAAACCGAAAACCCACTGCCACCACCCCGCATCTGTAGAATGATTTGTATAATGGAGTTGTAGTTGTAATCATTATTATCTTTATTCCCCACTCTCACGATATAAACAAGATTACAGTAATCAAAGTCTTAGCAATAGCTTATTCAGTACAACACTTGCTAAAAGTGACATGAAGTAATAAAAATAGACAACTAATGAAATTACACCCACTAGCGTTGCCCTGCCAAAGTGCAGTACCAACTGTCAATCGATTAAAACATTCATTAGCTTAAAAGCCAAGCTAGCCTGGTTGGCATAATACAGTCTTCACATTGGCGACATTACTGTTCAGAGTAAAAGCTGCATGCATCGCCAGGGCAGAAGACAGTATTCCTCTGCAGCTTGGCAAAGTTTCCTCAGCTATAAGCTACCTTATTATGCAAGTTTTATGTTTTCTTTTTAAAAGCCTTAGAAACTATACATACATGGCGTAAAGCTCTCTTCCCTCTAAATTCTTTTGCATATGACACATTTCACATCCTTAGGGGAAAATGATCACATCTTGCATGTTTGCAACTGGGTTTAGATTGCAGTGTTTCATACTTACAGCTTATACTCGCTAGCACAAACTCACTCAAATCTATAGAAAACCTTTCACCAGCCATTCTTTCCTCCTATTTCATAAGTCTTCTGATTAACAAGAGGTTTTTTTTTTTTTAATTACTATCATCTTAATATAATTTTTTTTCCTTTGCTTATAACAAATAATACAATTTACTTATGAGGTACTAAATCAAATATTGTCACCCAACCATTTAAGATCTAAAGAAAATTCCTCACAGGAGTTGTTAAAGACAGCTATAACTCCCATTAATTAAAAAGGAACAGTTACAAAACATTTACAAAATTCAATCTTTCACATTTTTGCAGTTGTAAATTGCTGCCATTGATATGAAATCTAAGATACCTACTGTGTCTTCAGCTGCACAAGAAAACCAACAAGTCATCATAGAACTCGCAGCTTCTTGCTGCCAGAAGCAATCAGTTTATCTCGCATCAAGTTACAAACTGCTGCAGCTCACAAAGCACCGTGCCAGAGTTCAAAAAGGCTGCTTCAAGAAATGTATTCTCTCCACCGCCCTGAATTCATTTTGTTCCATCCTTCACTTAGCTTGGATCCCCAAGCATATTTTCCCCATCTTCTGGATCATCTTCAGACTTCATAACTCTTAAAAAATATGGGCTACCCCCAGCCAGAGGCTGCCCGGTCAGTGAAGCCCTTCGTGCGTCCGGCCGCCTGCCCAGCCTCTCCCTCCCCAGCAATCGCCAAGAAAACCCTCCCCGAGCTTTTGTTTCTGAGTTGCAACAGACTGCCAGAGTGACTCAGACTCACAAGTAAATATTGCCCAGATCTAAAATATCTTGTAAACAATACGTAGACAGTCTCATCAGCCCAGATCTATTTTCTGATAATCCAGTACTTGATAGCCAAGCGATAGAAAGCAATAGCTATTAATACATTCTCTGCATGCTCATGGCCTGACTAACGCATTTTAGATTTAATGTTAACTAAAGAGACAAGCATGCATGAAACTTTACTACGGTGTTATGTTCTGCAGACATGCAAACACTCACTTTAAAATAACAAACATGTTAGTCAAATTAACTGTCCACTGACATTAATGAAGGTCATACTTATCACCACTAATAACACAGAAGGACTGAAATACTCGCAGGAGTAATTTTTTCCCATTCCACCACACTACAAAGCCGAAACCAGACTCACGATCAGACTTCAGACAGTTACAACTGCAGAGCAGATGGAATGCATGATCCTATTTTGATAGAAATGTAACCGATTTTAAATTAGAAAACACACATGCCTCTGCTTTAAAAAAAAAAAAAATCTCCTTTTACAGTGATGAAACCCATTCTGAATAGAACCTGGTTTCAGCTTACTGCTGCTGCCAGTCTGTCTACCAACATGTTAAATGAGAGGAGTCACAGAGGCTGTCAAAACATTAAATAGACAGCATAATGATTAACAGCAGGGAAGGTGTAGACTCTCACAAGTTTTGAATTTAAATAGAGATCTCCTGGGTGCCATATTTAGAGGACTAGGTCAACATTACAAGCAATGCACTGTTTTGTCTGCAGAAGAGAAACATGATGCATAGCCAGAAAAACCACATACACACATACCCTGGAGGACACACACAGGAGACTGCAAATAACCTAATAAATGGGTCTTCTCAGGAAAGAGATTTTAAAAATCACTCACTCATATTTGCACAAATTCACTCTTTCTCTAAACTATTCCACATCACTTGCTGTGAGCACCAGCCCTTTGCCTCGCAGCAGCAATGTGTTTCTCAGAAGAACCTTCCAAGACTTCTCTGCAATTAGTGTCCACGTGACAAAGCCACTCCAAAAAAGTGCAACGACTATAATCATCTCAAGTTATCTTCTGACCATAACCAACTCTGTCTCCTGAAGCTAAAAATGGCATTTGGGGGGAAAAAAAAAATAAATACACTTCACAAGTGACAGCAACAGCAAAAAAAAAAAAAATCCCACTTAACTGAAATCAGTTTGGTGAGAAACCATGTAGGTAAGACTATGCCTTCCAGGTGAACAGTCTTTGATTTATTTATCCCAAAGGTTTCACTTGTCTCCATTTTCATCTGCCTGCAGACATTCCTCATGACTTGCGAGCTGCACTCATCCTGCAGTGCCTTTTATGCTGAAGATCTCCCAAGACAGTCTTGACCACAAGATTTAGGATTGCTAAACCACTCAGACCAGGCACAGACAGCAGTTCTCGGAAAACACAGCTTTCATGGCTCCATCAGCACTGAGCAGCTTCGGTAAACGCAGCCTGGCTACAAACTCACACCGATTAAATTGTTCTCAACTTGAAGGCAGTTGAATCTCAGAGAGCTCGAAGGGTAGAAACTAATGAAACATGCTTGTGTTACATTCTTTCAGTGTAACCGAAGTTTGGAACCTAATTCAGAGCTGGTTTTTCAGAACAAAGACCATCATCAGATACACCAGCAGTGCAGATCTCTGGAGGTGCTAAATTGCCAAACATACCACAGATGCCTAGCTAAAGCCAATATTGCCCGTATTCTGTTAACACAGAGCACCTGTTTTACCTAAGCTCAGCCTGCCAGGAATTCTTCCCAACTCCAGGTCTCCAAAGATAAGGGAGTATACCATCTCCAAATGCAGTACTTATTCCTATCAGCTTCTATCTGGTGTGCTCTCAGTTTAAGGGCTTTACATTGAGCAGATACATTAGGTGTCTGCACACACTCTGTACATCCAGCTGGTACTGTAATGCCTTCAGGAGTGGTGCAGAGATACACATACACCCCAACATGCTCAGAAAAAGAACAGAAACTGAACAAGCACAGAATACTCTTCCAAAAGCTCTCCTAGCTTTCAATCACTGATTTAAGCTTCCTGGGCTAGAGGGATTCTACCTACATGCTTAATAATTCTGAATGAATTGCTCTATTAGCTTAGCCAGTTTTTCCTCAAATCCAGGTAAGCTTTTAGCATCCTCAGCACCCTTTGGTAAGGGACTGTACAACTCAACTACATGTTGCATGAACAATTATCTACTTCTATTCTCTCTGAACCCGAAACCCCTTATCTTACCAGATATTTAGCAGATAAGAAGTCAAGCTACTTTACGTATCTGCAGTTCTCATCTTGTAGGTATCTTTGGACCATCACATAACATTACGACATCCTCCTATGCTGCATGCCGCAATACTCTCAACCAGCACCAATTCAGGCAGCAGATAAAGAATATCACCACTCTCGGTTGTTTACTGAGAAGAGCATACAGCATAGTTCAGAGTCAAAGTTTATAGGAGACTCTTTAAAACTACAAGACTACTTTAAAACTTCAAAAACAAGCCTGTTCCTCACCCATCATTACAATCAAATATTTAAAGATGAGACAGCAAGAACATTAATGATGACCACTAGAGGTATTTACACTCAGGGTGTATTTGGTACCCAGACTAATTACTCTCACTTTTCTGAGCAAAGAAAGTCAGTTACTGAAGGCAGTGGAAAGGGCACACCATTGCTGGCAATGAAAGCCATGGGGTGCTGCTGTCAGCAAGGGTAGTTCTGATAGGCTACAAAAAAAATATATATATATTTGTACACTGCTGACAACCTGAGAAGCAACTAGGAAAGTTAATGTTTAAGGTTTATTATTGTTATAGGATATATATTTATCAATAAATAAACATAGGACCATACTTAGGGAATATGAGCTTGAAGCCACTGGGCATCTTCTCCCTCTCAACCAAAGAAAAGAAAAGCAGGCAGAGTCCCTGAAGCCATGCACAGTATTACTGCACACCCCACTACCCACCCAAGTGTCCCCACTGAGGAACTCTGAGCCCAGAAAGTGCTTTATTAGAGATCCCAAGACACAAGAGGAGAGAATAATACTGGGGTTATGGGGACCCAAACAGGACAGACAAATGAAGATCCCAACCCTGAAGGCCTTTGGAAAGCAATCCATAACCCTTTAATCCCAGCAGCTCTTCTGCTGAGATTTTCTCCAGAATGAAATTCTAGCAGCCAGAAGGGAACTTTCAAGACTTTTCATGCCAGCAAAAAGCCCACGAGAAGAGATTTCTGGTCACCAGTCTGAGCAGAATCTGTGAGGTACGACTCCCATTTGAGAATGCACCGACCTTTCTAAACAGACAATACAGGGCCAGAGGCACAAGAAATACTGGTCTCAATATTGCAGTGAAACAAATTGTGGCAAGTTAAGTTGTTGCTGAAATATGAAGTATTGCTCAGGAAACTTGCATCTGAGCTGAGAATTGCTCATCCAGAGTTTCTAAACACTTTTGCCTACATAGCTGCAGAACACCGACTACATACATAAACAGCATATTTAAATAAAACATGGACAATCTTTAGCAGTCATCTAACTCACTTCAGAAATACCAGTTGTAATTCAAAGCAGTTCTTAAACCTTTCAGCCTGAAAGCTGACATAAACCTGTGAAAGTGAACACAGCGCCTCGTCACTGCTGGGCTAGGCAGATAATCCTATTAATGGAAAAAACCAAACGGGACACATCCTCCTCTAATGCCATTAGTGGGTGACATAAGCACACAAAACACACGGAGAGCAAAGAGCTCTGGTAAAACACTGCCATCGCCACTTACAGCAAGTGCTCACAAATACATGAATGGTCCTAAAAATTATCTAGTCAAAAACACTAACATCATACTTTTATGGCAATAGTTATAAAAGAAACACTGCAGTTTCCGAAGTCTGTGAGGGCCATTAGATAGACCAATTCTTGTCAAAGTAGAGACACAGAATTATTAATTTCAGGCCCATCTTTGTCACAAGATATTAATTTTTCCAGTTTTCCCGCAGAGAAAGGTAGACACTCACTGACAAAAGGAATCATAGAATCGTTTAGGTTGGAAAAGACCCTTAAGATCACTGAGTCCAGCTGTTAACCGAATACTGCCAAGTCCACCACTAAACCATGTCCCTAAGCACAGCATCTACACATCTTTTAAATCCCCCCAGGGATGGTGACTCAACCACTTCCCTGGGCAGCCTGCTCCAGTGCTTGACAACCCTTTCGGTGAAGAAATTTTTCCTAATAATAATCTAAACCTCCCCTGGCCATTTCCTCTTGTCCTACCACTGTTACTTGGGAGAAGAGACTGACACCCACCTCACTACAACCTCCTTTCAGGTAGTTGGAGAGAGCGGTAAGGTCTCCCCTCAGCCTCCTTTTCTCCAGGCTAAACAACCCGAGTTCCTCAGCTGCTCCTCATCAGACTTGTGCTCCAGACCCTTCACCAGCTTCGTTGCCCTTCTCTGGACACGCTCCAGCACCTCAATGTCCTTCCTGTAGTGAGGGGCCCAAAACTGAACACAGTATTCGAGGTGCAGCCTCACCAGTGCCGAGTACAGGGGCACGATCCCTTCCCTACTCCTGCTG